ACCCACGTACATGGGGAGATTTATCAAAATAGAGGGCTGTTGACCTCCGAAGGAAAGGAAATAAAAAATAAGACTGAGATATTGGCATTGTTACAAGCCATCTGGATGCCCCGAGAGGTTGCTATCATCCATTGCCATGGGCACCAGAAGGGGCTTAGCCCCGAGATGATTGGTAATAATGCTGCTGACCAGGCAGCAAAGCAAGCCGCCTAAAAATCAGTGGGGAAGCAAATGGTTCTGCTTCCATGCCGGTAGTCCCAGAAAAACCTGAATACACAGATAAAGAAGTAGTGGAAATGAACGGGAGATGCTGGACTCGAGGAAAACATGGATGGTGGACGACTAAGGATGGAAAGGTGGTGCTCCCAGCCACTGTAGCAGATACATTGCTGCGAGAACTATATGAGTCCACCCACCTCGGCGAGAAAAGGTCCCCCTGTGACCTCATTTTGTCAGCAAGGGATTAGCCCAAAAGGCCCAGGACATGGTGAGACAATGCCCGACCTGCCTCAAGGTAAATGCTAATTGGGTAACCGGGCCCCCCGGGGTCCAACACAGAGGACTAACTCCAGGAGAACATTGGGAATTGGACTTAATGAAATGAAGCCTGGCATGTATGGGTACAAATACCTGCTAGTTTTTGTGGATACGTTTTCAGGATGGGTAGAAGCATACCCCACTAAGAGGGAGAGAGCTGAAGTAACAGTTAAAAAGCTCCTGACAGAAATAGTTCCCCGTTTTGGTTTGCCCTTAGCTCTGGGGTCTGACAATGGTCCAGCCTTTATGGCTAAGATATCTAAATTAATTAGTAATATCCTCGGAATAAAGTGGAATCTACACTGTGCCTATAGGCCTCAAAGTTCAGGACAGGTAGAAAGAACAAATCGAACTTTAAAGGAGATTCTGACTAAATTATGCTTGGAGACTGAACTAGGTTGGGTAGAGCTTCTCCCTTTTGCCCTCCTTTGAACGAGGTGCACTCCCAAGCCTCCCCTCAATCTGTCCCCCTTCCAGATTGTTTATGGGCGATCTCCCTCAATCATTCCATTAATAAATGTAGAATTAAAGGAAAAGTTTTCCCACCTTCGACTCCTTAAATCCTTAAAAGCAGTTCATCAGCTTCAGTCAGAGCTACATGAGACATTACGAAAGGAAATGACTAGTCCCAAAGAAAAACCTTTACAACCTTTACCCTATAAGCCGGGAGATTTGGTTTTTATTCACAGGTTTGATTCCAAGACCCTGGAACCTCGTTGGAAGGGACCAGTTCCTGTTGTCCTGTCAACTCCCTTGGTGGTGAAGGTGGCTGGACATTCTG